GAGGGTTAATATCCAAAATATATAAAGAACTAAAAAACTGGACATCAAGAAAAGTAGAAACCCAATTAAAAGTATGGTACAGAACTAAGCAGAGAGATCTCAAAAGATGAGACACAAATGGATGAGAAACACTTAAAGAAATATTCAACATCCTTAGTCAGCAGCGAAATGCAAATTAAAACTAGTTTGAGATTTCATCTTACTGCAGTCAGAATGGCCAAGATCAATAAAGCAAATGATAGCACACATTGGCAAGGATGTGGGAAAAGAGGAACACTCATTCATTGCTGGAGGTAGTAAAAACTTTTACAGCATCTATGTAAATCAGTGTGATATTTCCTCAGGAAGCTAGGAGTAGATCTAGTTCAAGATCCAGCTATTCCATTCTTGGGCATATATCCTAAGGACTCTGAATCCTTCTATAGAGACGTTTGCTTATCCATGTTCATTGCAGTTTTCTTCATAATAGCCAGAAATTGGAAATAGTCTAGATCTCATCAAGAGATGAGTGGATAAGAAAAATGTGGTGAATTCATACAATGAAATGTTATCTTGCTGTTTAAAAATGGAATCATGAAATTTGCAGGTAAGTGATTGGAGTTAGAAAAAAATCATACCAAATGAGGTTATCAAGACCCTAAATAACAAATTTAATATGTATTCTCTTTTATGTGGATGTTAGATTCCAAGCCTTCAATGGGCAAGCTTACAATCTATATAGCTACAGAGGTTATGTAAAGAGTAAAGGCATAGTGGGCAGGGGAGGATCTCCAAGGACATGAGAAATAAAATCTAGAGTTATGGAGAGACATGGGGGAGACTGGAGCAGGAGGATTAAATGGGGAGGCAGATGGAAGACAGGAGTATGTAGGGAATACTTGGAGGGACAACTAACACTAAAGGCCATTTGAATGGTCATATGAAAATCTACTACTGTAGAAACCTCTTAAATATAAACATATATGAAGGAAATCTAAATGGAGTCACCAAATAGTTCAGAAAATAATGCCCCAACAGGGCATTTTTCAACATCAAATGAAACCTCCAGTGCCAGAAATAGGTTACATGTAGTTGATTCATTAGATAAAGGGACCTCATGGAAACTTCTGAACATTTCAGGCTATAGTTTGCTCTCCACAAACTGACGTAAGGCTCTGCTGCTGAAGACAACACTCATGTAACTCACTGAATATAGAAAAGTTCAGCTGGTTCATACCTAGAACCCTATGGACTCATGTTCACAGGACTGGAAGTTACTCTGCAGGCTACCAGAAGAGAAAGATGACCATCAAGCCAGCTTCAGATCCTGTGATCTACAATGATGGCCTTCCTGCATGATAAGCTGATGAAATGCAGGCACAAGCATTCTGGGAATAAGCAATCACTCTCTGAGAGGATTTGAAGCCTACTCCATGAGAAGGAACACATGTCTGATACTGCTTGGGTAGCTAAGAACCTATGACTAGATAGGTCATGGACCTATCGAGGGGAAAAACAAATCATATTGTTCTGCTAAAAGAACATAGATACAAAATGATCCCCAATGATATTCTACTATACCTATAGATTGCTCACTTAGCCATAATAAGAGAAGCTTCCTCTCACAGTAGATGGGAGCTAACACAAAGACCCACAGCTGGACAATATAGAGAAAGTAAGAGACCCTGGGACATTCAGTCGCAAATGGTATGTCTCCAGCAAACACCACCCTTCAAAGTTCAAGAAACTATGTGCAGGAGGAGGTAGAAATATTGTAAGATCCAGAGGTGATGGACAACACCAAAGAAACAATGTCTTCCAGACAAAACGGGACACACATATGAACTCAGAGAGACTATGACAGCATGTATAAGGCTTGCCAAATTTCAAGACAGATGTTGTACCAGCACTGAGAGGGGGAAGTGGGCACAAGATCCCATTCCTAGCCAAGAAGCTATCTCCAACGGACAACTGCTTATAAAGGAATAATTAGTTTTTTCCAGTGCAGTCTCACCAGGTGTATTAACCACATTTAAGGGTAGGCCTTATGCACATCAGTAGATGGCCAGCACAAAATGAACTCAGTGGTACTTTTGCATACTTATTTTTGATTTTATATTGCTCTGTTTGGGCATTTTTAGTCTAACTGATATGTCGTTTGTATATTATTTTTTCCAATTTTGTATTTCTATGGTATATGTGTGTACATGCATACATTTACTTTGTGTTTTTCCTCGATGTTTATTCTGGTTTGTTTGTTTTTTTGTTTTCCTGTTTGTTTAGTTTTTTTAAAGAGAGAGAAAAAGTAAGAGTATGCAGCTCTATAGGTTGGGAGGCAGAGAGGACCAGGGAGTTGAGGTAGGGGGAACTGTGATCAGAATATATTGTATAAAAATAATTTTTTCAATAAAAATTCCTAGTGATTTTTGTTATTCTTCTAGTTCATTTATTTTCCTATAAGCCTACAAGAATCACTTCAGCACACTTATTTTCCTAAAGACTTCAGTGATGTTCAATATCCTGAAGTTAGGTGCTAGAAACATGACTGAAATTCTTTTTGCCATGGAGTTGTGGATTTCTTAAAATAATGTACCTCTCAAAGAAATGAAAATAACAGAATCCTATATTGTCTGAAAATATCCATCATGTGTGTCTCCATTAATGACAATGGAGGAACGTATAAGGAACGGCTCAGTCCACATCCCTCAGACAGTTATGTGGAGAATATGAAATAAAAGACCCTGAAGTTGTTATAAGCATGATTTTGAGGCATAAGCAATATTGTGTTATATACAATAACTCTATATGATGGATAATATGGTATAAAAACCAACCTCCTCCCATTGAGAAACTCTTCTGCCTGCCTTAAGGAACTGTCAGGAGTTCAGGCCCTGTCTTGATATTTTCTTGACCTTAAAAGATCATCAACACTTGAATCAAAGTCCCTCAAATCATGAAAGCCTACTCATTTTCTGAATTAGAGTTTACTGGTATAGCTGTCTTGTCTTCAGACAAGATAGATGATTCTGCACACTTGCTATGCAACTACAGGAGCCATCTTTGTGACTGCTTTAAGGTTAAGCTTTTTATATTTCTCTAATCTAGGAATTAAGATCTAACAATGTTGGTTTTGAAAGTGCTGATAAACATTCTTCCAACCATGAAGTTTCCAGTGAAAAGAATTGATGAATTTGGCTACCCCATTGGTATGATCGTCAAAGTTAGCACATTTTTCTATGATATTAGAAGGATGGTTTGTTGACAAGGAAAATGCCATAATTAGCAGAAGGTAAAAACTGGATTTATAGGAGGGCAGTTATTAACACTATCACTTGTTTGGAGTTGTGATGGTATGCTGGTACAAGTGAATGAATGCCAAATTTACATTCTCTCTATCTTTTAGGGGCTAACGGAAATCAAATTATATATTACTACTGAGCAACATCACAGATAATCATTAAAAAAAAGTATATGTGATTAATCATCACTGGAGCTAAAGTAAAAAATTGAAAGAGCATCTATGGCATCTTATAATGTCCATGAACTAAAATTCCAAGGAAAAAGGAGTTTCTAGCTCAGGAATCAGTTTCTAGAGAAGGTTGATGTGGTGAATTGAGAGAAAATGATGCTCAAAGGGAGTGGCACTACTGGGAAGTGTGGCCTTATGGGAGTAGGTGTGGTTTAGTTGGAGAAAATGTGTCACTTTGGAGGCTGGCTTTGAGAGAATAACAATGACATCAATGGGGTTTGCAGGCAAATGGATGGAACTAGAAAAAAATCATCCTGAGTGAGGTAACCCAGACTCAGAAATACAAACATGGTATGTACTCACTCCTAGGTGGATACTAGTTGTAAAACAAAGGATGACTAACTAGACTGCTATTCCCAACTCCAGGGAGGCTACCTAGAAAAGAGGACCCTAAGAAAGACACAGGGATCACCCAACGACAGAGAAATGGACGAGATCTACATGAGCAAACTGGACGGGCAAGGGTTGGGGGAAAGAGAGCTTGGAGAGCGGGAGATCCCAGCTGGATCAAGAACAGAGAGGGAGAACAAGGGAAAAGAGACCATGATAAATGAAGACCCCATGGGATTAGGAAGAAGCAAAGTGCTAGACAGTTCCCCAGAAATCCACAAAAGATACCTCCACAATAGACTACTGGCAATGGTCGAGAGAAAGCCCAAACTGACCTACTCTGGTGATCGGATGGCCAAACACCCTAACTGTCGTGGTATAACTCTCATCCAATGACTGATGGAAGCGGATGAAGAGATCCACAGCCAGGCCCCAGGTGGAGATCCGGGAGTCCAATCAGTGAGAAAGAGGAGGGATTGTATGAGCGAAAATTGTTGAGACCGTGATTGGAAAAAGCACAGGGACAAATAACCAAACTAGTGGAAACACATGAACTATGAATCAATAGCTTTTGAGGAGCCCCCAACTGGATCAGGCCGTCTGGATAAGTGAGACAATCGATTAGCTTGAACTGTTTGGGAGGCCCCCAGGCAGTGGAACCCAGACCTGTCTTTAGTGCATGAGCTGGCTGTTTGGAGCCTGGGCCCTATGCAAGGACACTTTGCTCAGCCTGGTGAAGGGATGAGGGGACTGGAGCTGCCTTAACTGAATCTACCAGGCTGAGCTGAATCCCCAGGGGAGTTCTTGCCCTGGAGGAGATGGGTATGGGGAGGGGCGTGCTGGGGGGAGGGCAGGAGGAGGGAGGACAGAGGAATCCATGGCTGATAAATAAAATAAAATTAAATTAAATTATAAAATAAAATTAAATTAAAATTAAAATAAAATAAATAAGTAATAATGAGATACCTAATAGGAACAGAAAAATAAAGATTCTCATGCCTTCTAGATTAGACTTTAAAGTATGTTTAGGAAAAAAAATAACACGTAAGAGAGTAACGGAACAGGTGCCAAGTTACCAGTAATGATTGTCTCTGTTAACATTAGCCTGTTTGATTGATTGGCTGGTTTGTTGATGGATGGATTGATTTAGAAAAGGTCTTACTATATATCCCATGCAGCATTCAAATTATGATCCTCTAGCTTCAGTCAGTTAAGCCTGGCTTTATAGGTGTCTAGGTCAGTTCCAGATCCATGTCAGACACTGTAGAACAAAACCAACAGAAGAAACAGATCAATGCAAACTGTCTACTTAACCTACAGGGTACAGAAAACATACACACTTTCATATAACTAAAGGGTGCACAACTTTTTCAAGTACATGATTAAACACTAATCATGGCACACTAAACACTGACATTATCCAAGTCTCATAATATGTATAAAGATTAATATAGTGGAGGCAGAACTGTATGCCTATGATGCATTACTAGCAAAATTGGAATCAAAACAAAACATCAGCTAGATATTGTGATAGATGTTTATAATTGAACATTTATACATCCAGCTTGGGTTACATAGCATGATTTTATCTAAAAAATAAACCAAGTTAAGCAAAACCAAAACAAAATTACACATAAAAACTGTAATGCAATGTATAAAAAGAAATTTAAAGCTGTAGATACTTACGTTCTACAATTAGCCAATAAATTAAATAGGATGCCAAAAAAGGCAGGTAGGTAGTAAGAACATAATAAATACAACTTTGTAACAATGTGACTCTACATATGAAATTAACAAATTCTTTGCAAAATAAAATAGATTCAAAAATCCACAAATATTGGCTGTGGCTCCATATTATCATTAGTGGCTCCATAAAATGATTAGTTTGAAATGTTTCTACAAGTAAAATGGTGAATGATATTCAATATATACAAAAAATACCTTTATTAAATTATTTTCTTAAAAATCAGAGAGATTATTTTGAAAATTATTTTTATGATTTTACTTAAGTCCAATATCCAAACAATACTGACAAATATTTCAGGAAAGACAAAATTTAAAATTTTTTTTTCAAAATCGTATGCGTAAAATAAAAACCAGCCAAGTATTGCCAAGTATGGTTTGCACACGTAGTAGTATGTGTTTGTTGTAGTTCCAGGAGGTCTGTTACCTTGTATTGTCCTGTGCATGTACCAGGCATTCAGGTAATGCACATACAAACAAATAAAACACTGATACACATAAATAAATACACTTCTGTGTTGGTTGCTCTTCTGTTGCTGTGGTAAATAAAACACCATGTGCTGGTTTTATGCAATGCCTTTAGCTTGCGAGGAAAAGTCAGGAGGCCTAACAAAACCAACTATGAAAGTTTTGTTAGGAGGAGGGAGAGACAGAAAAGAGCGTGATGAGGCCTATTTGAAAGACACATTCAGAGATGGGGAGGGTGCATGGGATCCGCCTTTTATGGACTACCCCTGTGCATGCACATGCACATATACTCCCCACGAATGCGCATATGGGCCCACGTGGCTACACCAGACATGTGCATAGATTACAGAGATCACGCTGAGCCCAAATTACGTGACCATGCAGCTCACGGATTACTAGGATGTACAGCCCAGAAATGACTAGGTGTCTCCCCAGGGCATGCTCGGCCATGGTGAGGCATGGTTAGAACTCCTTTCACCATGGCCAAGGCACCTTATAAAAGAAAATGTTAAGTTCGGCTTACGGTTACAGAGTTCACAAGGGCTGAGTGAAGGACTAATTGAGAACTCACATCTTAATCTACAACCACGAGACAGAAAGAGAGCATTAGATGTGGTTGAGTATCTCATAAACCCGCAGCCTGCCCAGAATGACACACCTCTTCCCAGCAAGGCCACACCTCCTAATCCTTTGCAAATATACATTATATAAGTTATTTAAGTCTCCAAACATACTTAAAGATGAATGTATTGCAAATATCCACTAAATGTTAGTTACATAAATGAAAGTAAAAGTTATTAGTTACTTTTCTGAGTAGACAGTGAGAATAAGTTGGTTCTTCTGGCTTTTGGACACCTGAGGGCTCACAGCTAATTTCTCTCTGTTTAAGTTTTTCTATTTGATCAGTGAGATATTTGGGGTCCTTGATTTGATGCTGAAAACTTCTGAAGAATATTTCCCACACAAAAAAAATGTTACTAATTTAATGAGGGTATGTGACTAAGTAAAAGACTCCAGGACAGCCTTTGTGCTGGTTTTGTTCTCTCAAAGTCCTAGGAAGGAAACACTCCGTCTAGAAATCAGTGCCAACAGTGGTTGTTTCCTCAAATAAACACTTGAGAAATAAGAGCAAAAAAACGCCAAGATATAGGAAAGAGTCAAGAAGTTACAAAGAAATGGTACACCCAGATTATTCTAAAGAACAAATGTGCTAATGAGGAAGGATTAAAATTAAAACAGAAACTCTGGAGCATCCATTCTCGGTCTTTGGATTGTGACTTTTTTGGGGGTCACGTCTCAGATATCCTGCATATCACATATTTACATTATGATTCATATCAGTAGTAAAATTACAATTATGAACTAACAATGAACATATCAACAATTGAGGGGTGGTGGTCACTACCACATGAGGAACTGTGTTAAACTGTAGCAGCATTAGGAAGGATTAGAACCACTGCTTTAGAACAAAGAACAGTTGTATTTGCTCTCTTTATGAAAAGGGATCTTAGCTCTCAAGCAGATGATGTGCCTTGCATATGTACCCACATGCTGAGGTGAATAAGAAAAGCTACTCACTGTGTGTGTTAAGTAATGCAAGCTTCTCCTTGGGTATGTAAAATACTTGTAAATGATGATAAAAATGGTACAACTGAGTCCATGGATATGCTGGTGAGACACTAGATTATGAATTTTTGCCATTGTTTTTATCTGTTTGGTGTTCTGGACAGGGGAGGTTAAACATACAAAGCAACTGATCCTCCTTTCCAACAGTGATGTTCCCACTCTATTTGCTTTTTTATATTTTCTAAAGAGTTTATAAACTAGTTTTGTCCTCTTAAATCTTGTATCTCAATGGATGCTGTAGACTGGGTCTGTGACCCTTCTTCTCTAGCAAATATCACTTACCATGCCTTTATTTCACTGTGGCCTTTTATTTTTGAATCTATATTTCTATCTAATGGGGCGAAGTTATTGTATTATACTTTTCAGGCTTAAATCTGGGTTTTCCTTTTTCTTCTCCCCGCCTTCCTTTTTTTTCTCTTTTTTTCCTGACTCATTTACTGATATGTAGGAAGCCAAGAAACTCCCAAAGGAGCCACAGTTTAACTGTCTTACTGACGCTGATCTTGACATGACAAACTTTGGTAACCCTGTGCTAGGAAACATAACATACAGACATATCTGAGGAGAAACCAAACTGAGGGCTGCATAAGGTGCTTCTGTGATGACTTTTGCTGAGGCCTCAGATAGAGTGCTCCTCCTCATGGCTGGACTCTGGAATGAGAAGACAAGTAACGCAGAGCCACCGAAAACAGCTGGTTTTGAAGGTCACAAAGAAGAAATTAGGAAATTTTGTTACCTTCACAGTTGGGGGATTTTCTGTGAAATCAAAATCAACTGAATAAAGCTCATCTGCTAGCTTAGAAAATAATCAAAATAAAGTATTTTAACACCAAAGACAAATGGCAAGTTTGAATTAATCTTGAACTGAGGTGTTGGGTGGCGACTATGTTATATAAACACACAAAAGTAAATACATAAAATAATTTAAATTTTTACAGTAATACAAGTTAAGGAGGCAATACTCTACAATCCAAGGTTACTAACAATGCAAGTTAAAGAAGCCGTACTGTACTCTACAATCCATGGTTATTAAATGAATATCTTTGCCCCTTTGTGATATTGAAGACCAAGCAGCTAGTTCTGTCAACGTTCATTTGAAGAATTCCTTCCTTCTCCAGCAGACCCTCAAGTCTGACTTTGCTGGTGTATTAGGCAGGTTACAGACAGGCATAGAAAAAGCATCCTTGGTTTTCAATGGCAGTACCACCGGAGGTGTTCCCCTCCACCACCTCTCCCGCTGTCTCCTACTTACCCACTTACTCTTGGTAACTAACTGTCCTTGGTGCTGTCTGCAGCTGCTCCTGTCCTCATTTCTGCTGGCCTGAAATATCTCCGTGCTGCTTTAGTTTCTCACCTGTAGCAAATTTGGTTTCACTTCAATTTATCTTCCCATTTGGTCTTGCACCTCTGAGATCCAGGTTGCATTTGTCCTCTTAATTTTTCTCGTCCCCTGTTAAAATTGAGGCCTTACTCCACTGATTTTTTTTTAATTTTATGAATCAAGTTCTTGGTCTTCCATTTTCCTACCTTTAGCTTGGTAGTTTACTATTAAGAGCTTTATTGTACTTTAAGAAACATATTCACTCTCTTTTCCAAGTTAGCTGGTAGTATCAACATTGCTTGATCACAAAGATATATATTATTTTTGTGATTAGAAACTGTTATAATGAATGCTATGTTCATATACCCATAGTGGAAGCTCTTCTTAAAATCAAGATTAGGCTCCAAAGATAAAAGTAATGCTACATGTCTTAATTAAATTTTATTTTCTCGAGTTTTACAAGAGTATCTCAGGAATTTGCTTCTTATCAAATCCCCTTTTTATACAGAAAGCTATGTTTCTTTTAGCTTATAATATTATCTAGAAAGCAGCTTGCTGATACTTCTGACACTGATTTCATCTTCAAAGAGAATTCAGCATGTATTAAGTAAGTTCGCATACTTGGTCCTAGATGATTGTGTAACTGGAGCCCAAAGTTTTGATCTCACCCCTGATTTCTCTGCTTCCTGAGCATTGCCAGTTTTTCCAGGTAGCCATCTCCTGATGAATACCACTTGTGAAACCTCATGGTTTGTGTCCTGACTCTTCCTAATGATCAGTTGTGCAGCCTTCTGGGATTTCTACAGCCTTTCCACACCTTCAATATCCTATTTTCAAAACACCATGGGGCAAACTCATAGGTTCCATGATGTTGAGCATACATACTCTGAAATCATCAATTCTAGGGCAATTTCTATAGTATTTTACATATAATGTTACAATAAGCATCCATTTCTGAGAATTTACTGTAGAAGTAATCTCTTGTCAACAAAATAAAAAGTGGATAAATCCACTATATATTGTAAAGCATGTTTTGAAGAAATAAATAATTCTACATTTAGGTCATAAAAGAGACCTTAAAAATCCTATTTTTTATCCTCTTTGTATAGTGATTCCATTTTTGTTTAATAATTGGATTGTAATTGCAGCTAATATAAATCACCACAATTGCATAAAAGATGGATGTGAGAATGATGTGCTTAACCATGATGCACAATATCTATAGGTATTGACAGATTTTCAAGTGGGATGTAGGGAATTATGATTGTGGTAATAGAGAGGAAAGATCAATTATTTATTTTATGTAGGGGAGTTACAGGTCAAATGTGGAATGGAGTCATTATTTTTCTCTTATTCCCAAAGGCTCCCTCCAATAAGTGTCTATTGATCCGTCTTCCACAGTCGTATTCCCCTACTGATGGATTAGGCATTTTTATGCTTGAAATTCAAACTTCTTTTATAAGAAAGCTATTTTTAATTTGTCCAACTACTTACTTTTCAAAAATTGATGTTTTCATAATCTTATGTAACAGGAAAAGCATAAAGTCTGTGATCTTTAACAGAATTGTTTGCTTTATACATTTAAATGCAAACTGACCCGTCCTCAAGTAGATAAAAGTGGGAACTAAACGTTCTGTAATAAATCAAAGTTACAAAACATGAGGCAAGACAGTTACTACTCAATGCCACAAAACTGTCACTCTAAGAGTAGGAGAGTCTGGCTTCATTGCTTTTTAATTGTGTTTTGTGAGTGTGTGTGTGTGTGTGTGTGTGTGTGTGTGTGTGTGTGTGTGTGTACACATGCCATTGTGGAGGTCAGAGGACTACCAGCAGAAGTTCATCCTATGATTCTACTGTGTGGAGCCTGAGGATACGATTCCTCTGTTGGGACTGGTGGTGAGCACCTTTACCACCTGAGTCTTCTTACTGGCCTGAGTCTGACTTCTAATTTTCTTAGCATATTTTTGGCGAAAAAACTACTACAGGGAATGCAATGTGTGTACTTATGTATGGTGTATGTATGTGTGTGTGTATGTGTGTCTGTGTGCATGCCTGTGAATGTATATATTTAAATTCAACACACTTTTCAGGACAGCAAGTCTTTTGCATGCTATATTCACCAATAGCGTGTCAGCCAATAATGAGCATAATATTATCTTTTTAGGGTATACAAATAATATTGTAGAATCATTTAAAATGTCTTTTTGCTTACAAAATTTAATTTATAAAGAACACTGACATGTAATTTTACATGACATATACTTTGAGTCAGTATGTTCAAATTGTTAAAAGCAGTCATAATATATATGTGTATATATATGAATATACATGTGATTTTCAAAAGAAATAGATGTACACAGACAGTTCTTGTGGCCTTGAAATTTTACGGTATAATTTCTCCTTTTGATTTTAATATGATGTTTTGAGAATAATATGGAAAGGAGATATATAAGAGAAGAAGTTAATTCTGTCATTCAGTTAGGAAATGGGAGGGGAAAAGCTCATAAGAGAAGAAACAAAAAGTAGACTAGCCCAGAACCAAGAAAGAAACCTGAAAAGCCATGCTGACGAAACTACAACCATTAATAATATTCTCCTTAGTGGTAGTGACTCAGCCAAACACTCAGTGAGCT